CGTGGTCACTGTCTGTGTGTCTGTGCGTGTCAGGCTGACACCGTCCCTTGGCTGGCTTGGCAGCCCGTGTGACCCATGTGGCACTGTGTGGTGCAGCTGGGGGAGTGCTGAAGACCACTGCCAGTCAAGCACGCCCTGGCAGGTGCCTTCAGTGTGCAGCTGTGTGTCATGCACAGTCACCTGGGCAAGGTGTTCTGGAGCAGGAGGCTGTCCTGAGACTTTCCTTGCTGGCGTCACAGCCAGGGCTGGATCTGGGGTCGACCTGCCCCATGCACAGTTCTGGTCTTTGGTGAGTGTGTGACAGCGAGGTTCTGGGGAATTCTGCTGCGCTGCAGGCTCATTCTTTCTAATAGGCCTCTAATGCCTTGCATTTCAATAGGCAGATCCACACTTCATGCCCCAAGAATACCTGAGAGTCTTCCAGATAGATAATGGCACGGCCTGGCAGAGTGTGACCTGCCGCCTCTGCTCTGGCTGAAACTGTCTCGCCTCTGTGCTCGGCACTTTCATAACTGCATTGGGCTCTGCGGCGTGCTTCCTGCCGCGCTGCTCCTGCTGCTCCTGCTGCTCCTGCTGCCTGTGCATCTGCAGGTGCCGGTGCCTCATGCTGCACACCCCGCCGGGCCTGAGCTGGGCCTCACACTGCTGCCGCCTGCTTCTGGAATGCTCTTCCACGAGGGGGTCCAGGAGACGGCGCCCGCTCCTCAGCCAACTTTCCACGGAACATGGCAGGTGGAAAGTCAGGAAGAGGAACATGCCAACGGGCTCACAGCTGGAAGCACCATTCCTGGGGGATTTAGGTGCCCTCGGCTGCAAATCTCACCTGAGCTGATAATGCATGTAGGCCCGCTGGCCGCGCTGCCTCCTAGTTGCTCTGTTGACCAAAACTCCCTTGCTGTTAGGGAGGGACTGCTCTGCGTGTGCACCATTCCTGGGGGATTTAGGTGCCCTCGGCTGCAAATCTCACCTGAGCTGATAATGCATGCAGGCCCGCTGGCCGCGCTGCCTCCTAGTTGCTCTGTTGACCAAAACTCCCTTGCTGTTAGGGAGGGACTGCTCTGCGTGTGCCCCTCGGTGATGGAGGACATGGCCTCAGAGGCACTGCCGGAAGGAAGGGCGGTGTGGGCGGGCCCGGCCCTCCCCTCAGCCACCAGCCCCAAGTCATGTCTGCACAAACCCTGTAATCGCCTGTCTCTTCTAAACACGACAGAAGAGAGAGCGTTGTGTGGCTGAAGGTAGCAATATGGAAATAAAAACCGCAGCAGCAGCAGCTCTGGCTTCCAGCTGAAGGGGTGAGTCACTGTAAGTTCAGTCGTGTACGTAGCAGATCATTAAAGGAGACGTGCATTTTCCATCAGGAGCCTTCCCCACACATCCCATAATGTTCTGCCTGCCTCGACTGGAAGAAAGATCCACCCACGGTGCAGACAGGCACTCGAGACGGCTGCTGCACACCAGGTGTGAAGTCTTACATGTCGAAGTCCCCACACACCATGTTCTTGTGTTGTGCTAAGCGTTTTCCTGTGGCTGATATTTTAAATATCTTCCCAGTGGCAGTAGTGACCGTTCCTCTCCTGGTCAGCCTGCCGGTGCCCCTGCTGGACGGAGTGGCCATCACACAGGCTCCGAGGACACATCTGACTGTTGTCAAGCAGCCCTGTGATCAGGAGCACCAGCGCTCATTACAATATAAAGACAAACCGACTTAAAATTAGCTCCAAGGCTCATAAAGCAAAGGACAGGGACATGAATCTGTCTGGATCGCCGCTGTAGGGAGCTGCGTGCGTTTGCAGTGGTTCTGGCGGTTCCTCTGTGTGGCGCTTGCCCCTGTGGTCGACTGAGTCGCCCCATAGTGCACTCTTGCAAGCATTTATCCAACAAATTCTCATTTTGTTTGGGGTCTGGTGTTTTCTGGCTGTGGATCCACGGGACATGCAGTGCCTGGGTCCAGCGGTGCTCGTGGAGAGGGTAGTTTGTGGAGTGTTTTGTTCTGGAAGGCCCGAGTGGGGACGTGTGCAGGACCTTTGGCCTGAGGCCTCTGGGCCTTGTGTTGGCCGCCGCACAGCGCTGCCCTCTCACCGGCCTCCCTCCTTCCTGTCCCTGACCCTGCTCAGCAGCAGCGTCTCTATCAGGTGACTTTACACGCATTTGTGACAGGAAAAGCAGAGCCTCCAAGGCCAGACCAGGTCCAGATGTCCTGTGGGTCGCACTCCATGTTCCAGCTGAGTAAACTGAGTTGTAGCCGGGTTGACAGGCTCAGTGGAGTCACTAAACAGCGACACCGGAATCGAACTCAGAGCTGGGGCCTCTGTAGAAAGGCTTTTCACACCCCCACGTGTCAAAGTGACAGTGGGTTTTTGGGGAAGAGCACGTGCACGTCCGTCAGGGAAGTCGTGCAGCCAGGGTCTAACACTGACGCTCTGAGTCTCCTCTAACGTGGGTTGATTGTTCCCTTGCTGGATTCTTGTGGAAGGGCCTCGGCCGGGCCCAGCACATCGTGGAGACAGGGTGAGTGGTCCCGAGGGTGCTCACGGCTGTGCTCGCTTGGGCTCCCGTATACGAGGCTCGAGGCTCCCCCGCTACAGGGGCCGCGATGTTTGGTTCCTCACGCAAACGCACAGCTGGTGCGCCGTGTGGGCCTGTCCTGTGGGTCCCACTGGGCGTGTACAGGGCGGCAGGTGCCTGGTGGCTTTTCTATGACACAGGGGTGCTGGGTCTTTGAACTCTGAGAAACCAGGAAACTCCTCATCGTCTTTGGAGAAAACATCTGAGGGAGAAATTAGGCTTAGGAAATTCGTGTCTCACCAGTCAAGGAACTTTTTAGATGTGGTTTAGATTCAAAATTTCCCAGGAACTGTCTGATAAGCCTGAAGTCCTGCTGCTGAGGCCTGTGCTGTTCCTGCTGGTCTGATGGTGAGTGGCACTTCTCAGGTCAGTAAGGGCATGCTCTTAATTTTAGAAAACCCCATTGAACTCAAATGTCTGAATCAGTCAGAAGCATGAAACGATCCTGTGCAATGTGAGTAAGGCCTTGGCAGGAAACATCGTGCATGACCTCAAAGGGCCAATCATACCCGTGGGAAACAAGAATAATCTGTAAAATAATTCATATGCCATTAAAGTGCTGCATATCAGTGTACTTTCTAGAAGATTTTGGAGGAAGGGAGTCTGTGCTTCCAGGAGAAAGGGGGGCTCTGAGCGGGCTCTGAGTAGCAGGTGGAATTTAACATTCATGAGAGAGAAGAGGAAGCATCGGTGGCAGAACTACTGGCCTGAGAAAGGGCAGAAATAGCACCAGCCGGCTCCTGTGGTCCAGGGCGGGAGCCGGCCTCTGTCCATCGGAGAGGTTACAGCAGGGACTGACAGGAGAAGTCTCTGCGGGTCACTTCAGAGAGATGGGCCTGGGAACCAGAGAGCGGCTTCAAACCCAGCTGGGGCCAGGAGACGGTAGGCCCTGCCCAGGGGTCAGCCCATGTGTGTGGCTTCCGAGGATAATCCCCCAGGTGCCACATGCAGTGGAGCTGGAGCTTGGGAGTCACTCAGCTCTGCCACAATGCGGCCTGAGCTTGGACCAGAATGACAAAAGTGGTGGACACGATGGCATTTTCTGGAGTTTCAGCAGAACTTGGTGACTGTCTGGGCATTTCTGGCGTGAGGGAATGTCTAAGGCCGCAGCCTGGTTTGCTTCTCAGAGCAGGAGTGGACTTTAGGGAGGTCTCTCTGAGCTTGGAGTGATGCTGAGACTCCTGTGTGGAGGATCCCACGGGGACACGGGAATGCCAGCCCGTGATGGTGTGCATGGGCAGAGGCCTGTGCAGAAAGCTACCCGGCCAGGAAAGCAAGCCTGGACTCCTGCAGCAAGAGGGCCAGACGCTGGGGCTGAGGTGCCCTGAGCACAGGTGGTATTTGAATCCACAGATGCGTGTGAGGCTTAAAGGAAGAGGACTTAGGTGTGGAACCCGCACGACTGAGACGTGGCAGGCTCCCCTCTGGAGGAAGGAGTGTCGCCAGCCGAGGGGGCGGGAGGCTGATAAGAGGAGGTGGCCTCTGGTACCGGCATTTCGCTCCCCTGGCTGTGTGTCCACTCTTTGGCAGCAGCGTGGGGTTGGAGTCGGGATGCTGCGGGGCCCTGGAGCGATGGTACTGGGAGGGCAGAGTTTGCAAAGCTCAGATGGAGGCAGGCACTTCCGAGCCGAGGAGTCAGGGGACAGGCTTCCCAGCTGCCTTCTCCCTCCTGAAGTCAGTCCTCGTCCCGTCTCTGGTCTGTTAGGGGCATTTGTGCCTTAGGAGATGTTTAAGGAGGTCATTTCTGTGAAGAGCTGTGTGCCCCTCTGCTTTCCAGGACGGACCTTGAGTTCCTGCCCTTTTGAGATGGCCGTAGGTGCAGTAGCCAGTTCCTAAAGCCTGTGAGGTCTTCAGATGGATTAAATTGGTAAAAGAGGGATGTATTTTTTCAAAATGGTGTTCCACACAGTGTTTAAAAAGCTCCAAACAATTTTGATAATTCCTGTCTAGCAATTAATTCCCTGCCAGTGGTTTCTATACCGAATAGTTCCTAATGACTTTGGTCGTGTTTCAAACGGTTCCTGTCAAGAGAGTTTTTAAAACGCTCGTCTCTTTTTTCTCTGCTGTTGCGGCATCTGCTCCCTTGGGAACCAAACACTAAAATCTGTTTCCATAACAATTTTTCTTTTTCCTTTGCAAGAATATCTGCCTGCTATTGTTGGGTTATTGGGCTGATATGAATTTTTTATAAGAGCACACAACACTGTCGTGTGTGCTGTAGAAAAACAAAGCCTGTCAATAGAATTGCTGAGAAATGGAAGCGAGGAGGCCTGGTGTCAGAGGAGCAGACACTCGCGCAGGTCACACCTGGAGCAAACGGCGTCCTCGGGCACCTGTATTTTTCTGGATACCTCAGTTTTTTCCACGTAGCTCTCTGAGGAGCAACACTGAATGTTGACTTAGTTACAAACTCATTCTTAAATGATCTCTTGCAGTGTTCTGGGACCAGCAGTGACCTTCAAAGTGAGCGCCAATGTCCAAAACGTGACCACGGCAGATGTTGCAAAGGCCGCAGGTAAGGCCGTTCACGCGCGTGCACACGTGTGCACACTGCAGCAGGGGCAGAGCGAAGCCACGCAGGACAGGAAGGAAGTGCACAGTTCCTGGGAAGGCCGGTGTCTCACGAAGGAGACAGAGGGCACTGCAGGGCGACCTCAGGCAGGTGACACACCTGGCACTTCACTGTTGGGGTAGGGACAAGGTCACCCAGACGCACAAACCTGTCTTTGGGTAGAAGGTGGGAGACCACAGGCCTGTTTTGAGAGAGGAAAAGGCTAGCTTTTGGAGTGGCAAGGGCACTGTGTCTGCCGTGACTCAGCGTGAACAGAGCAAGTGCAGTTTTGGTCAGTTTTCATCTTGTACCAGAAGCACATGCTGGCCCCACCTGTTCCCATTGCAGAAGAGACCTGGTGCAGGACCTGGTACAGACCGACCCTGATGCTTTCGCTATTTAGGTCCCATGCTCTGGGCATCCCTAGGTGCCCATGTTTGAGACCTGTTTACTGATAGAGCTGGGGTGCTCCTTGTTATACGATCAATATTTGTCATTGAGTGAAAAACACAAAGCTCACTAACTAGAGTCTCGAGGAACAGGACAGGGTGGTGGACACAATCCTTGTGTTTCCTAAACATGACAATTTTTATTTTAGCTTATTGAAAACTCGTATAAAGCGTGTCATGTAATCTTTCTGACGAGTAAGAAAAATACAGAAAACATAACAGAACCTTAGCCTGATGCATTTCGGTACTCTTGGTTGACTCTAGGCAGGACACTTTCATGTTATAATCATTCATAAGAGATGTGGCCAGATGCACTGGCCAGGCACAGTAGAAAATGATGCTTGTTTTAGCCAATTCTTTACGTCGCTAAACCGATGCACTACTTTTTACTGAAATTTAAGTCTTTTTTTCCAGCGTAAAATGCAGCAAACATTCTGGTTGACTTATAGATTTGGATGTTCAGTCCCCATTAACTGAGGCTTCCCTGTGTGGGCGTCCTACTAACCTAACGTTATCCAGTGACAGTAAACAAGGCACAGAACAGTCACCGCATCCTGTTTAATGGAATAGATTACTGGTCTTATCTATTTGGGTTGCTGTTGGTTTTTATTTATAGGATATCTTTGTGCCCTTAGTAATTCTTATTTGCTGAAGGTAGCGAATTTGGGAGCTAAGAATTTTGGGTTAAAAAAGAATTCTTTGCAAAGTTGTAGCTAACTCCAGCAACATGGCAGAGTTGAGCTCTGTGGGGAGCCAGACCTCCCAGGCTTCATGTCAGCCCACATTCTGCTGTAAGCTCAGGTATGACTTGGTGAAGCAGTCCAGTACGTCACGTCCGCCGAGCGGTTCAGTGTGGTCCCAGAGAAAGGAAGTCAGCAGGTTGCGTACTAAATACCCTGCCACCTGACAAGGAGGGGAATTTTGATGTTAATGGCCTCAAGCCCTCGTGAGCTACAGGCTACCTCCTTCCCTTAGTAGTAGAAAGGAAGTCAGCAGGTTGCGTACTAAATACCCTGCCACCTGACAAGGAGGGGAATTTTGGTGTTAATGGCCTCGACCCCTCGTGAGCTACAGGCTACCTCCTTCCCTTAGTAGCATCTATTTTACTGTCCAGTTCCTCAACATAAGTGATTATTGGATATTCTTAAGACCAAGTCAGTTCTCTATCAGGTTTCTCTGCAGAAATGCATAAAACAGTTGTCTCACAATTGACAATTCATTCCAGTACCAGGAAGTAATCCTTTGAAATTACATTTGCTAGAACTTAAGGATGCCACAAATGGAATAAAATTAAACGCAATGCAGTCTTTTTACCTTGAAAATATCCTCACAGACAATGGCCTTTCCTTTATTTTATTGCTTTCTAGAGAAAATGAGGTTGAGTATTGAAATCTAGTCTCTTGGTTATTTCAAATGTTGTATGTTACATACCAAAGTGCTATACCAAGGGGAAATTACATGTACTCATCAAGTGTATATTTGAATCTTGTATAAACAACTTCCT